CAATTTACTTGCAACTCGGATTAGGAGAATTGAAACCTACCTTAATTATTCTCCAATTGGCAGATAGGTCAACTAAGCAACCCCGTGGTGTCATTGAAGATGTGATCATCAAAGTAGATAAATTCTACTTCCCAGTAGACTTTATTGTGCTAGATACGAGCTAGTTCTAGAGTTAAGGAGGCACATTCCAGTGATCCTTGGTCGTCCTTTCCTTGCGACAGCAAATGCAAGCATAAATTGTAGGAATGGTGTCATGGACTTATCTTTTAGCAATATGAAGGTGCGTTTAAATATTTTCAGTGCTAGTAATTACTCTTCAGATGATAAGGATAGTTTTCTTGTCGATACCATTGATGAATATGTTGAAGAGATGGCCCCATTTGCCTTGACAAAAGATCCACTAGAAGTATGCCTATCTTACTTTAATATCGGGTCCTTTAATGTCGACAAAAGCATTGAAGAAGTAAATGTCATTCTTGATGGAGCCAATACGCATAACATTCCACCATGGAAAATTCCTATTGAGCCACTTCTACCATTATCAAGTGAACCACCTACACCATCTTTGAAGTCTCCACCAGAGCTAGAGCTGAAGTCGTTACCCTCTCATTTGAAGTATGCATATCTTGGGCCAGAAAATACTCTTCCATTGCACAATTCATTCTTGGATAAGCAGCTATTTCAACTTCAGAAGGAGATTCCACCATGGTATGCTGATATTATGAATTGGAAAGTGTCAAGAAAGAAGACCATTCAGCCGGATCGGAAGGATTGGTACATTGAGGATTCTGTGCCTACAGAAAGAGTTGAGTCCGTCACTTTGACGGATCCCATCTGCTCCACCTAAACATCCAAGTATCACGTCGCCTACCGACGTTAAATGTAGGAATTGTAGATAGGATTTTTCATTTATGTAATTTTTTATTATTATTTTTTTTTTCTCTCTTTAATTTTATCTTTTGTTTTAGTAGATTAGGAAGATTTGATGTGTTTCGTAGGGTTGTTAATTACTTGTGCAGGATACAAGTTGTGCCTGTTTCGGAAAGAAAAAAATAAAAAATTTCCATGGCATACAAAGAAAAAAAAGGTTGATTTGAGCAGAACAGAGCATTTTTTATGTCCAAACATTGACCAAACCGCCTGTGGCAGTTTGCACCGCGTAGATCTCGAAAAAATACCCAAAATAATAATAAAAAAAATCGTCCAAAATGGACCTCCGATGCCAAAGTTATAACTGTTTGAAGTTTGCATTCAAAAAATAAAAAATTCGGACTACCAGCAAGTCCGGGCGACCATCGCTCGACCCATGGGCGACCATTGCCCGGATGGAATTTTCGGAGCAGCACAAGCAGGTCCGGGTGAATGATTGCCCAACCCATGGGCGACCATCGCCCGGGTGAAGAGTATTTTCCGACAGAGCAACTTCCGGGCGACCATCGCCCAGCTCGACGGCGACCGTCGCCCGGTAATTTTTTCTGACCCGAAGTAGCAGTGCCGGGCGAATAATCGCCCGGCTTGGAGGTGACAGTCGCCCATGGCGACTCAGTGGGGATGAGAACTGCAAACCATCACCCAACCCATGGGCGACCATCGCCCGGGTGGAATTTTCTGGTGATGCAGCAACATAGTGCAAGCGCCGGCCTTGGTTGTCTTTACTGGCTCCGGCTTCTTCAGAAACAAAAAAAAAAAAAAAAAAAAAAAAAAAGAGAACAGGTACGATAGACAAAAAGAAAAAAAAAATGAAAAAAAAAATGACAAAAAAAGGGGAAAGAATAGTTGGCTTTCTTTGTTTCCATCTTCTCTAAACAATATCCTTTCCCTCTCCCAATCCTATATATATTCTATATCTGTATTCTCTAACCACTGCCATCATCCACTCATAACTATTTCAATTCCGCAATTCCTCACCACATCCTACCCAAAATTGCCTAGCATACCTTTCATTTATATATATATATATATATATATAAATACCTTCACCTAATTTAACCCATTCCATCCTACTAATAATCATCTACCCATTCCCATCTCACAAATATCAATTTCATTAAGGGATTGCCATATTGTTTGCACAAATTTGGAGAAAAATCAGAGATTCAAGGCCCATTATCCAGTAATTGGGTGCAATGTCCCACCTCAGAGCTGCAATTTAATAAATCCGTCAGGATCAAAGATCGATGATGGCCATGATGTGCGCGCTTATTATTCATCACGGGCTTAATCCCGATGCTCCGCTGCCTTAATTCTCGATATTCTGCCAGGTGCTTTCGTTCTTTGTTTTTATTAGTATTTTATTTTTCTTTTATTATTATTATTATTATTATTATTATTATTTTCTTGCTTTTGATTTTTGTCCAGTGAGGACACTATCCAATTCAAGTTTGGGGGCATAGAGTCTACTCTAGTTGTTAGAAAAAAAAAAAAAAAATTAAATTTTTTTTTTTTTTCTTCTTTGGCATATTGATTTTAATTCAAGTATTTACGAATTGTTGGGGGGATTAAGACACTTAAGTACTTTTTAAAATTCTTTTCTGAGATCGTCTTGAATCCTTAACTTTTGTGCTTTATTTTATGTAAGTTCCATTATCTAGTATGTTAGGAAATTTAGTAATTGTCGGTCCCTGATGGATTTCACATGCACACTAGAATTTTATCTATGGGTATTTGTATTGTTGGTTGAATTCTGATGACTATGGATGGATATGAATTGGTGAACTTTGAAAGTTATTACTATGGCAGAGATATTTAAATATATATATATATTTCGTAACCCTTTCATGGAGTAATGGGGGCTCATGTGCATAGAGTGTTCGCATGAAGAAGTGGGGGTAAGGATAAAAAAAAAAGAAAAAAAAAAAAGAAATAAATAAATAAATAAATAATATTTTGCCATAGAAAATAACTTGAGAAAAGATCTGAGGAATTGAAGTTATAGAAGTTGGGTTCAATTGAAAAGACATTACTACATAGGTGATTTGCTAGTTCACATATTTCACAACATTGGGGATTGATTTTTGCTATAATTCTTGTTGCACAAGTGTGTGGGAAATATTGGGATGAAGTATGAAAATAGGGACTAAGAAGTATAGTCAAATGATAATTTTTAACGTACTTTTGTGTAGTCTTCCTCTTAATTATTGTGATGATATGAGAATAAGTTGATTGCTAAATGATTGAATTGTGTTGTATGTTTGTGGGTATCATCTCTGGAAACCCTCACAAGACTTCATTCGTCCACTAGGGATAACCTAGGGGTTTAAAAGGCTTGTTGCATATGCTAAATGCAATTGTGATTCCCACGATAGCGGCATTTATGTTTTCTTTAGTTTTATTGCTATGGGACTAGCAATATGTAAGTTTGGGGGTGTGTTAGGCGCTGAATGTTATACATTTTATCCCCCTTACTTGCACGTTTTATTATTTTAATAGTAGTTTATTTGTGATTTTACATTATTTTATTATTTTTATTTATTTCAGGGCTTTAATTGTAAAATCAGTCAAGACCAGTAATTCTGAGATTTAAAAGATGAAATTCCGTGGGACTGAGCAATGTTGAAGATCCAAGTCTAATTATACTTAGAAAATAGTTCAAAAGAAGCCACAAGTTGATGAGAATGGAAAGAAGAAGAAAAGGAAAACTCCTTCTCCAAAAAGGAAACTTTCGCCAAAGTTGGTAACTTGAACCCGTTTTGGTAATCTGGCTGTATCTCTCTTCTCGAGTGTCAAAATGGCTAAATTCTCGTGTTAGTTGAAAGGAAATTCGAAGATATACAATTTTTTATTTCACGAGGATTCCCTAAAACAGCTGTTTACCATGTCAAAATTGGCCTAGAAGTCTGTATGAATTTTGGAGTCCTTATTTGACAGAATTTCTATGTATGTCTCCTATATGAAAAAGGGATCTTTAGGGCTGATATTTTATTATTAAAAGGGGGTCCTCTATAACATTGAATCATCATACAGAGGAGCTGGAGGCTGAGATCAGAGAGGAGCATTCAGAAGAAAGAAGAGATCAATCCATGACAGTGAAGATGTCTTCCTCAACCATGAAGAATTCCACTCCATTCATGCTTGGCTAAACGCTTTGCTAGGGTTGTGATGTAGCCCTAGCTTAGCACACTGGTTTGATTGTATTAGAGAACAATTTTTATCATGCATGATTGTGTAATCTATAGGGTTTTTAATTGAATTTTCAATAAGAATCGGTTTTAGAGTTTTAATTCAATTACAAATATTTTTCTATCTTGTTTTAAATATTTTAATCTTGTAATTGAATACAACTCATTCACTCCTTGTACTTGTGAATGAGATGATTACATAATGGTTTTTCTGTGAATATAATGTTAGAGATTTGATGGATTATGCCTAGAAAAGATAGACCATGCTACACCCTAGAGTAAAGTAGATAGGTAGATTGTTTATACCAATCGAAGATAGTCCATGCTTAGCTTTAAATTATATTATTTTCTAGCTGAATTAATATGTGCTTGTAACCATGATTAATTCCTTGTGCATGTTATATGATATATCTCTAACAAATTGATGCAATTGACTGGTGGTGCAACGTTAGTGGTGAAATCATATCCCTAGTCCTCTCTCTCTATTTAATACATCCTATTTAATCAGTTTTCTTTAGTTTATTTTATTTTTCTACTTAGTTAATTTAAAATTAGTCATCACAATTCGATTATCCTACTTGCAAGTTAATTTGGAATTAAAGAAATCTGTTGACAAACTTATTTTACACAAGTCCCTTGGGTACGACACCCTTAGAAGTAAACCCTATCTGCAAAGATTCGTGCACTTGCAAATGATACATATAAATCTCACAACAGGTAGCAAATAGAGAAAAACCACTTCATGACTCTTCTGGTACTCTGACGGTATGTGAAGATGGCAACCTTGTAGTCATGGATGGATAGAGACAGATTGTTTGGTCATCCAATGTTCCAAATTCTTCCGCGAATTCAAGTGCCCAGCTTTTAGATTCTGGGAACCTTATGTTGCGAGATGACTCCAATGGAAATATAATATGGGAGAGTTTTGAACACCCTTCTGTTTCTTTCTTGCAAAAGATGAAAATTAGTTCCCAAAAATTTACAGATGAGAGGACTCTGCTCACCTCATGGAAAAGCTCTTCTGATCCATCTACTGGAAGCTTCACTTGTGGTTTGAATCCGTTAAATATTCCAGAACTATATGCATGGAATGGTAGTCATCCACACTGGCGGAGTGGTCCATATAACAGACAGATTTTTTTTGGATTACCTGACATGGTTGGATACTGTAAGTGTCTTGATGTTGTAGATGATAAAGAAACCGTGTATATAAGCTACACATCTACAAATGAATCTGTGTTGTATCATTTCTTGAATTCTGATGGAATTATTGTGCAAAGATACCTGGATATTGGAATGGAGAATTGGGAAGATACGTTAACGTTTCCACAGAGTAAATGTGAAATTTATGGCAATTGTGGTCCTTTTGGGATTTGCAACACACAAGATTCACCAATTTGCACCTGTTTGCAAGGGTTTCATCCAAAGGATATGGAGGAATGGAGTAGAGGAACTTGGACCAGTGGATGTGTAAGGAGGAGACAATTGCAGTGTGAGAGAAACAACAGTGATGGTGGTGAAAAGGGCAAAGAAGATGGGTTTCTGAAGCTAAAGACAGTGAAGGTGCCAGCCTTTGCTGAGTGGCTATCTATTTCAGAAGACATCTGCAAAAGCCAGTGCTTGAATAATTGTTCCTGTATAGCTTATTCGTATTATAGTGGCTTTGGTTGTATGCAGTGGAGTGCAGACTTAATTGACATACAGGAATTTTCATATGGTGGAGCTGATCTTTACATTCGCGTGGCATATACAGAGATTGGTAATACACATGCCTCTTCTTTACGATCTTGTATTTTAATATGTGCTTCAAATAACCCTCTTTTTCTTCTATTGTTTGTTTACTTGTTGATTCAGGTCATATAAATGGATATGAGTCATCACATATTCATGATTAAGTTTTGTAATCCTTCCAACATATTTTGACAGCACTATTGTAGTACCTTTTTTTTTTTCCTTTCTAATTTACCAATGAGAAGACAGCCACGAAAGTTGTATGTATATAGTTCTTCCCAGTTCTTTAATCCATTTCAACTCAACTCACTCAAAGTTTGCACTGCTTCACAGATAAAAAGAGAAACACAACAGTAGTTATCACAATTGCCGTAATCATAGGGTCAGTATCAATTGCAATTATCTGCATCTATCTTTCTTGGAGGTGGATGGCTAAATCAAGAGGTATATGCAAATTACCGTTAACTCATAATTTAGAAAATATTTGCTGTTATTCTATAAATTAAGTTAAAGTAAATTTTATATAAGGGAGGAAGGCAAAAGGTGAGAAGTGTTGGGATTTATATGCCCTGGCATAGCAAATTCCGATCTGGATTAAAATGACAGATGTTCCTGACGTTTCTGAAATATTTATGCTTTATACAATTGGTGAATTCAATGTATTATATTTTGATTCACTATGGATTGATAGTGTCCATTTGATTACAAGAGATATTTATATATGTATGTGATGGCAATCAATACATGTATATAAATAGTAATCATAAACTGTTCATAGTCGGTAATTATGGATGGACTCATAATTAATTAAGACTTGAACTGGATTCGCATTAGGTTGAGATATATTGCGAGAGCCGTCGTATGCAATTGCTCCCTATCAACGTCATGGCATTTGACTCTTAAGCATGAGAAAATTATAGACTCTTTTATTAATTAATAATTACTTTGATTTGTTCGGCGGATTCTTCGGGATCCTTAGATCGACACTTTGGGTAGTTATGTAATTAATAGTTAGAGGGTTATATTTTCAATATTTGCATCATTGCTACTTGTATTTATTTTGTATTGATTATGGTTGATCACAAAGTAAATTCAAAGGCCTTCGTATGTTTTTAGACAAAATGATTTATTATATATTTATTTATTTAAATTATTATTTTTGTCAAACAAATGTTTTATTGTGATCAAATCAGAAATAATCAATGGTACCAAAATAAATATATTAATTAAGTAGTCGGATTGATGGCTTTATTTATCCGATAACTAAATATGCATAGAGGGGTCAAAGTGTAATATTGACTTAGAGGTTATTTATTATTTAATTGGAATTCAATTAATTTCTTTTAGTGGAGTAGATTTTAATTTATGAATTAATTGAATTGGGTCCATGGACCGGGCCAATTATTAATTCATTGTAGCCAATAAAATAATAGGCCCAATGGATTCTCACTCATAGCCCAACTTGATATTGGAATCATATTAGATTTGAGACATGTGAATTAGAGATGGAGAATGATTTGTTGTTTCCTTTTCTTTATCTTTATGTTGCCTATAAATATACATGGTCTATGTATATTTTAGGGGTGATTTTTGGAAGAAATAAAAAGGAACCTATTTTCTCTCTCTAGAAAATTAGGGTTTATGTTCTCATCTAATGGAGGCTCCCACAAGCCTAGTTTTCCAAGGTCATTCATGGAGGCTTATGAGTGATTCCTAAAGGCAAGACCATTAACAAGAAGATGGAGATCCATGGAAAAGATGTCTAGCAAAAGGGATCTACAATAAGTGAGAACATTCACTTTAGAGGATTGATCTAAGGTTTACTCAAACCTTGATGTAAGTATTCAATCTTTTAATTGAATGATACATCATGTTTTATTTTTGCATAAAACTTGTCTCTATGTGATGAATCAAGATCTATGAATTAAAATCCCTAGCAAAGTTTTTAAATCTAGCACGTTTCCCGACAGTGGTATCAGAGCAGGGAGACGAAAAGTGAATGCAGATTTTTCAGAAGAAAGCACACTTGGGGATCTGAACCATGTTAAACTTGAAGACTTACCTCTATTCTGTTATGTGGACCTGGAAATTGCAACAAATAAATTTCATGAGGCCAATAAGCTCGGACAGGGTGGTTTTGGTCCCGTGTACAAGGTAATGCTTGTTCATTCATTGCTATGCTGTACCCAAAAATTAAAAAACAAAAATCAATTTCATATTTATTTTTAGGGAAAATTGCCAAATTGACAAGATATAGCTGTGAAGAGGCTTTCAAAATCCTCTGGACAAGGCATGGAGGAGTTCATGAATGAGGTTGTGGTGATTTCTCAGCTGCAGCATCACAATCTTGTTAGACTTCTTGGCTACTGTGTGGAAGAAGAAGAAAAGATGTTGATCTATGAATACATGCTAAGTAAAAGCTTGGATGTATTTCTCTTTGGTTAGTTTATGATAGAGTTAGTTATATTATTTCTAGTTATTTCACTTTCATAACCTTAACATCAGCAGGAACTTTTTGGGTTGAGAGGACAAAATGCCTTTTCTTTTGTAGTCTTTAGGAACATATTGAGCTTTTAAAACTATAAATTTTGTCTCAGCATCAAATTTATTCTCCCAACAACTTTAACCTACTTGTTTTTTCTTCTTTTCAATATATTTTTAAATCCAATCAAGCAAAAATTCCTAGATTGGAGAAAACGTGCCAACATTGTTGAAGGGATTGGTCGAGGCCTACTTTACCTTCATAGGGATTTAAAGACGAATAATGTTTTGTTGGATGAAGATCTAAATCCAAAAATTTCAGATTTTGGCATGGCAAAGATTTTTGGAAGCAACCAAGACCAAGCCAACACTAAAAGGGTTGGTGGAACATTGTAAGTATCTTTTGTTTTGTCCAAAATGGTGAAACATTTTCATTTGTTGACCCTTCCTTCTCATGGAATAGTTGAACAAAAATGATTTTACTATTGGGGTTGTAATGAAACAATGCAACGGCTATATGGCCCCTGAATATGCAATGCAAGGGAGATTCTCAGAAAAATTTGATGTATTTAGCTTTGGAGTATTGTTATTAGAGATTGTAAGTGGGCAGAAAAACACAAGCTTTAATCACGATGAAGAGTCTTTGAGTCTTCAAGGACTTGTAAGTTCACATGAATCACTGCCTCAGTTACTCCGTATTTCCTTTTATTTCAAACTTCCTAATTCCAACATTTCATTGTTTTGTTGATCTCTTCAGGCATGGAAATTATGGAATGAAGATAAGATTGTATTGCTAATAGATCCAATGATTTCTGATTCATGCTTTCAAGTGGAGATCCTCAGATACATACATGTAGGACTGTTGTGTGTCCAAGATTTTGCTAAAGATAGGCCAACTATTTTTACTGTCTGTCAATGCTTATTGTAGATCTTCCAACTCCAAAGCAACCTGCACTTACTGAAATTCATGGTTTCTCAAAATTAGGTTCTTTTCAACAGAGCCAAAGGAGATGTTCTGCGAACAATATAACTGTTACAACCATTGATGGTCGTTAGCATGCAATTCTAGTGATTTTTTTTTCTCTTAATATAATCCCTTAAGTACACTTTAATTGAATATAAATATTATAGTTATGTACATAATGTTTTCATCAACTCTATTCAAAACTCAGTGTTTGCCTTTATCCTTCCATATTGTTTCTTTTGAGAGAATCCTACTTTTATTATTCGGTCAAACCTTCTATTCTTTGTTTCTAATTAGCTAACTGTTATAGATTAATCAGGCAAAGCAACAACTTTAGCAATAGCTTATGGGCTTGATTAGGGTGCTAGATGAAAGTATAAGAAAAATCCCCCTGATACCATTTTCATTCCCATTGATTAGCAGCTTCTTCAATGCTTCCAACAGAAGCATTTCGGATGAAGAAGCTGTGCAATAATTTAGCTAGAAATTTTTAAGTTGCAAGGCAACAACTTACTTTAGTCATATTAAGATGTATGCTCTAATTTGTATCTAAAAACTAGAACATGAACAGAAATTACCATCTTGTATGGTGATCACAATATATCATTGGCAGAGGGAGTTGTTGACACCACCACATGGCCATTGCCAATACTATGATATATATATATATATATATATATCAACCTGTCATGTTCAAATTTAAATTTTGATACACTAAACTCTAATTTTAAATTATATTCTAACCAAATCATCATGTCCTAAGTGTTGGGTTTGTGGCTCAAAATTGTCTACAGAAATTAATTTCCTTTTCCGTTTTGGAATATTGAAATTAATTTCCGTTTTTTCCGTTTTGGAATGTTGAAATTAATTTCCGTTTTTTCCGTTTTGGAATGTTGAAATTTGTTAAGGAAATTGTGTCCTCATAAAGTTCCTATTTTAGAGTTGGGATTGATATGGTAACTTTTTATAGGCAAGTTGGGGAATACTTGTCCAACAAGGATTTGGGTTGGAAGACTCTATAAATAGATATGAGTTTAAGAAGAGTAAATTGTAGAGAGAAAAAAAGAGTTTAAATTGTGTGTGTGAGAGAGAATAGTGTGTAATCAAGTTTTTGAAGTAAAGTTAGTCGTTCTTCACCCGTGGACTAGGCAATTTGCCAAACCACGTAAATATCGTTTTTGTTTATGTGTGATTTTTTATCTGTTATATTTGCCAATTGTGTGTGTGAAACCCTAACAACTGGTATCAAAGCCATGGCGACAACTATTATAGATGGGAAGTATGTGGTCAAGAAGTTAAAGAAAGAACTTTAGTCTTTGGCAAGTACAGATGCGAGATTTACTGATTTAGCGCGGTCTAGAAGATGCCTTGGGTAAGCAACCAGAAAAGATGGAAGATATTAGACCAAGAGGGGGGGTGAATTAGTCAACTTAAACTTATCTTCAATGAAAGCAAAACCAAACAAACATGAATCAAACACATAACACTAGGTTTATAAGAAAAACCCTCTCAATAGGGAAAAACCTCGGTTCTTGGCCTCAGCCAATAAATCATCCACTAGCTGTATGTATCTTGTTACACACTCAGCTGTCTCACTCTCTGTACACATCCAAGTACAAGAATAGATACTAGTTTTCACAACCAATACACACACTAGTTCACCAATATGCACACATGCACTCCCCTTGTCCTAAGCAACCTTGCTTGGACACCAAAAGCTCTAAATAGCTATATCAACAATGGGATGAGGTATTAAAGCCCTACTACCATTTGCAATGAAGTGTTAATACACCAAACACAATAAACTTAAGCTGCAACAACAAGTAGGAATGCAATACACAGCTTTAAGTTGAAAAACAAGTGAAACCCTAGCTTCTCTCTTCTGTAATCAATTGAATAAACCTTCCATAGCACAATGCAGCTTCAACTGAAGTACACACTAGGTTCCCGCAACCTTTTTCATAGCACAATAAACTTACTCAAAACATTAGTAGACAGTGAATAGCAAGCTCACATCAGATTTCTTCAAATAAGGCTTCAAACCCTAAAGAAGGGTATTTTAGTCAAATTACTCTGTAGCTTTACCACTGACTGATCCACAGCCTTGAAATCACACTAATCACTTGCTCAATAGGTTACAGCAATAATTAGAGCAAGGAATGACAAATTCAGCTCACAATAGGCTTGAACAACAATAAGCCCTAAACTTCAGCTCTCAAGGGCAATTCTGTCATAACACCTGAACCTTGAGCAACTGTAGGTTCTCACAGCTTCATATGATCATTAGACACTTGCATAAATAATGTTATTGAATAGCAAAGCAAGTTAAGTACACTTCAACACAAAATCAGTGACAAAACAGCACACCTCAAGTTCAGTTTTGCAGCTACTGTGAAGCCTCTGAATTACGGACATAAATGGTATTCTATAAGGTCTCAGGCCTAGAATACACTCTCACATACTTGGTTCTTCTTCTCACAAAAGCTCAGAGGTTAAGCAATTCATTTCACAATTTAATTTCAGCCTCAAAATCAGTTATAGACCAGTTTCTGTAAAAACTCTGCACTCAGGGACAAAACTATAAAATCACTGCACCACTGCCTTGAATTCGAAGCCCTTAGTTATATTTCATGTTAATACACTTGCTCAGATAGTAATTACATCAAGATAAGCATGGTATACAATTTTCGCAGTTTAATTCTTAGATTTTCAAGCCTTAAACCTTAACAACTTAGGCTTACTAGACCAAACTTCAAGTTGGTTAGTTTTATTGTAACTTCTGGACTTCACTAGCCTCTATTCAACTATAGAAACTTGCTAGAATGATTGAAAGATGAATCCCAGCAAGATGTTAACACTTCCTTACACAAATCAGAGGCTGAACCAGAAAATAAGCTTAAATGAGGGTTAGGGATATGAAAAACTTACTTCAGCTCAACTTTGTTCAAGTGAGCACCTCCTGCAAATGTAAACATGATATAAGAGCTTGTTTAAACCTTCTTCAAGCTAAGATAGTGATTCCATCATATTTAAGTCCTTCCAGTCACCTTTTGCACCAGATTTTCAATCCATTAGGCCTCCATCATCACTTCAATGTATTTTATACTTGGTCACTGATTTCTGAGAATGTATTCAGCTTTCATTCTTGATTAAGAACTCAGGAAATCATGTGTTCATATGGCCTCTCGAGACACTCTCATTTAGCTTTCTTTTCTAGGGTTTTCTTTTTACTTTGAGGCTTACCCTTTTAATTTACTATAACAGCCTTTATATAGACCACACACTTCCAACCCTACTATGGATAATGCTGAGCTATATTCCATTTATCACAGTGAGGAAATACACATGATCTTCCAGTATGAGAAAGGACTACAATATCCTTGTATATTTCAGCTGAAAGCACCTCATTTAGTAGCCTTTGATAGATATTGTATACACATAAATGTATATATGTGTAAATAAGAAATGCCTTGCAAACTTTAGGCTAATGAATGGTATTCTGTCCATATCTTATCTTGGCAGGACCACTGTCCACGTGTCAGCATTTGTAGCTACAGAGAATTACAAAAATATCCCTGTAGATTCCCCTTTTTGATATGCCAGCAAAAATACTGTTGTCACATTTGATTGAGCTGGTATATAAATAATTCTAGCTCAGCTGAACAATGTAGCTTCATGGACATATATAATATGAATATAGTGATATGTACAAAGACAAAAATGCCCTTAATAAGGGTTGTAGGCCAATTGAGTGTGCTGTCACAGCTTTACAAAACTGAGTATAACTGAGTACAATGTGCCTTTAACAACATGAGATTCAACCTCCAGTACAATGTGCCTACAATGTGCCTTTAATGACATGGGATTCAACCTCCAACATATCAATGTACCAATGTCAATTTGCTAACACATCAATGCACCAATGTCAAATTGCTTTGAACCTTGTTACTTGCATTTTGTCATTAAAAGAGCAAACTTCAAGATAAGCATCCAACAGAAGATGCAGATTAGGCGAAGATCAACTTGAAGGCAATGAGTGCAATTCGATTAACATTGGCGGATGATATTATGTATGATGTGATAAAAGAAGATTCAGCAGCGGACATATGGAAGAAGTTGGAGAATCTGTATATAGGAAAGAATCTCACCAACAGGTTAGTTTTAAAGCAAGAGTTGTATTCCTTCAAGAGAAAAGATGGGGTAAGCCTTTAAGAACATCTTGGTGAGTTCAAAAAAATTATTTGTGATTTGTCTAACATTGATGTCAAGTTAAGTGATGAGGATAAAGCAATTATTTTGTTGACATTAGTACGCTCTAACCATAAGCATTTATTTAATACTTTGCTTTATGGGAGAGACACCATCTCGGTGGAACAAGTTAAGAGTGCTTTGTTCTCTAATGAAAAGTTGAATGATGAAGAGAATCATGATGATCAGGCTCAAGTTCTTATTGCTCAAGAGAAGAAGAGATTTGGAGCTTTAAGAAACCTTGTGCCATTATCAGAGAAAAGATGTTATAAGTGTGGAAGAAAGGGGCATATTCAGTGGTATTGTCCAGAAAGAAAGGAAAGTGCATCCGCTGCCATTATTGTATCTGAAGATACAAAAGAAGAGAGTGATAATGATGAAGCATTATCAATCATTGATAATAAGGGAGAAGTTAAGGAATGGATACTTGATTCTGCTTGTTACTTTTATGTGTGTCCTCATAAAGAATGGTTTGGTACCTACAAACCTATAGGTGGTAAGGTATTTATGGGGAATAATGCCTCTTGCGATATTATCGGAATTTGAACAATTAAAATCAAGACAATGAATGGTTTGGTAAGAACCCTAACGAATGTACGCCATATTCTAACTATTAGAAGGAATGTGATCTCTGTGGGAGCATTAGATTCCAAAGGTTGCGGGTGTGAAGTGAAAAATGGATTGATGAAGATTAGAAGAGGGTCACGTGTCTTGCTTTTGGGAAGGAAGGTCAACAATCTCTATAAGGTGGAGCAATTGCAAAGACGGAATGGAAGCCTATTTTGAGATCTACTAGAATAAAGAATCAAGAATAACAAGAGAAGGAAGAAGTCTTGACAATTGC